TATCTTTTTATAACAAACTGTTTTAAATTACGCCCCACATAATATAAAAAGTATTACTTGGCCAAAGTTTTTACGTTGCATAATAGTTTTTGGGAAAATCGACTGTAACATACTAGCGGACACAAGAGGAATTTTATAAGCATTTCCTTTTTTTTTTGCAGTAGCCTAAAAAAGTTTTAAATTAATTGGGAAGGTATTTTAGAATAAATCCTTTTTTAAAACATTACTCTAATAACAAATAATATATCATAATTTTTCACATCCACAAGAAAGCAAAATTCCTCTTTTCTAATATTTCAAAAACAAAACTAATCTTTATTAAAAAAAAAAAAAATACAACTTGTAATTATACAACACGCTACTGAAGTGAAACTTCTTCAAACACACAAACATACCGGGATAGGGGTTAAGGAATTGGTTTAATGGTATTATTTGTACACTATGAATTTAAATTTTACACTATACATGCCGGAGTTGCCTGTAACGAACGTTGCATTGAAGCGCGCTCACGGCTCAAGCGATCCCCACTACGAACTGGACTACGTGACCGAGTAGAGGGGGGACATCCGTTGCATGATTTCGTTACATAGCAACTCGCATGAAACGAACTTAACCTACCGTGCGCGTAAAGAAGTTTCACTTCAAATTTAGACATTTAAGAATCATTTTAATTACTAAATTTACCGCAGCAAGACTATATTATACCTTAACCGTATGGTTTGACGAATTACTGATAGCTAATAATCTGTAGAATGGATTCGTCGCATTACTTGCAAACCTTAAAGGCAATTAATTTGCTAGTAATCAAATACTTGTAAAATATTTTTTATTATTTTGATTGTTCAAAAATAATTACTTTCCATCTCTTGACATTTGTTCAAGTTGTAGGCGATGTTTGGTTCAAAGATTGCCAAAAATTCATATCGCAGCGTCTACTGAACTTCTACTTTAACGGAATATTTTTTATATTAAGGCTAATACTTATCATCCAGAAATTTTTAATTCAATTTTGTCTTTTCTACGATATTTCAATGTAAAATATAAGGGTGAGAATGGAAAATTGCCTTACTGTAAATCATACATCATCCAAAAGGAAGTATTTTCAAAACGCTGAGTCCTGAAACTCCAGAAAAATTAAGTTCAAAAACCAAATTTAATTGTTTCATTATTGGCAATGTTCTTATTGAATGCCACACACAATATAGCTATTATACTCTCCCCCTGTACAGTTCAGAGTGAGCTAGTGAACAGCTATTATTTTGAATACTTGAGATTGTATTATTTAAAATATTTAAATAAATTATTTAATTAATCTATTAGTTGATCATTGTTTAACTATCCAAAACTTATGCTTTTTTTTGGGCATTTACATGTTTATAAAGTGGATGCCCCAGACATATTCGAACAATCTCGGGACTTCTTACAATTTTGAGTTGGTAACCTCATTGATTTCAGTTTTATTACTTCAGCCGCCACTTACATGAAAACGAAGTATACAAACAATTCCTTTAAATTTAATTTTTCAAACAATTTTTATCACAGAGAAAGTGATTAAACAAATTGTTCACAAAAGTGAATTTCGACCACTCGAAGCAATGGAAACAACAAATCGAAAACAGTTTCGAGCTCACCGTGACTGATACGGGGGAAGAACTAGTACATATTAATAAACTTCTTCTAAATTATAAAATAAGTTAGAAATGGTACCAAAATCTTGATAATAACCTATTGAACAATACCCCACTCCAAGAGATACCTAAAATTTGACATAACTACTTCATATAGATAATTGTAAAAAAACAAATAACAAATTAAAATTTTCATTAAAAGGTACCCAGCTAACAATAAAATATTGTTTTTCTTCGACAGAGAATTGATACCTTCGTTCATTAACGCATATTTATGATATATGTACATGAAAATCCTGTGGACAATACTATTCATTTCGTCTACGAAATACGAAAAGAAAGCAAAACTTTAATTTTTTGGTTTTGTTTATTTCGTAGTTCATAGGCGCCCATTTCTTTTGCAGCATGGAGTGAGTGGCGATATCTGCTAGCTTAAGAAAGAAATACTCTCAAAATTTTATAGGTATTTATTAAAGCTACGTGATAATTTCACTAATTACGTACAGATGGCTGTCCTATATACTTTTAAATATTTTAATTGAAAAATGAGAAACAATAATAACTGTCGACATTCCGAGGAAATATTTAAAAAATATAAAATATAGTGAAGTTAACAATTTATTGGTGTTTTTAAATAATTTACATTAAAAATATTTTTCCACTGTATTATAAAACTACATAACGTTTAATTGTGATAAATTATAAACGTGCTGAAAATGAACGACAAAAAAGCTGGAAGTCCTAAATTTTTATCAAAACCTGATCCATTTAAAAGGCCTCTAAGCGGAAAAAAAGCATTGAACATGAATGCTACAATGTTGGGGACACTTGGCAAGCAACAAGATTTTGGGAATACAACTTTACATTCTTTCAATCCACAACCTCTAAAAATTGATTGGGAAATAGAATGTTCTGTGGCATATAATTCTTATCTTCAGGCTGTCATAGTAAATCAGTTAACACAAAAAGCTGTATCCAATTTTGAATATCTTATTGATGATCAGTTGACAATGAAAGGGGAACTTTTATTAAAACAAATGAGAGAACAACGGAAACTTCAAAATACAATAACAAATGGAGAACTTTTAAGAGAAGTGGTTGCACTTGTGAAAGATTTAAAAGGAGACTGTGAACAATTTTTAAAGGTAAATAGTGCAACAAATTTCGATAAGCATGTCCAGAACTTAGCAAATGCTTTTGAAGATGTGTCTAATAGATTATACTTAAATAATGTAAAATTGTATAATGATGGAGAAGAGATAGAATTTCTTCAGTCTTTAAGGAGATGTACAGAGGCAATTTTGCTTTTTAAAAAATGTGTGAACTACATTGATAATGATATAGAGAACGTTTTAGAAATATTAAGACAGCTAGATTGTGAGTGTAAAGGTGCAGCTAAAAAGCAGAATCTAATTTCTGATCAGTTGATGAGGCTGAGTGCATTATGTTTTAAAAGACTTGCTAAAAGATTTTCTGAAATCCGTTTACAATCTGGTTAATAAATATCGTTAACAGCTATATGTAAAGGTAAACTAACCCAACAGTAAATGGGTGGTTTCATGGTTTGAAAATTATTCTCTTCAATGACTATTCACCAGGTACAGAGCACAATTTTGTTCATGGTCATGTATAATACCTGTGTTTCACTTCGTTTGTGTCGTCTTTTCCTTCCATAGCCCTACCTAACTAAACAAAAACAATTTGCTTAGGATCATAAAATTATGGCAGGAAAAAAGAACTAACGAAGATCCATCACCGTCTATCTATATATAAATACATTTAGTAAGTTAAATATACCGTATATGTATATCATTCATACTCATGTCTATGTATCTAGTTAATGTTAGCTACATCCCAATACATCTTTTAGAGGAAGCTGTTGACGTATTTGAGTAATTGTATTTCAAATTATCACACTACTGTACCAATAGTAAATTAAAAGCAAAAAAAGAAGGGAAAACCCGGTTTTCAAAATGAGCTAGTAACGGTCACAGGTGAGAACTGTAACTAAAGAATCACTATTAAATCTATAAATATGACAAAATAGGTTTAGAAGCATTGGTTTCATTGTAGAAAAATTTGTTTTGTCCATATCATACTAACGTTATTTCTCATCAATGGTAGTGATAAATAAAATAAAAAACTCTTTGTCTCATTGTAAAAAGAAATGTTTTGTCTATGACGTCATATAGAAATTGAAAAAATATCTAACTTATGAAAAATTAAGGTTTTATCTTGTAGATGCACATAAATTGAAGTTAAAAGAAAACGTCCACGAATTCAATACATCTGCAAGTAAAATTAATGATAATTGAGCGGAAATAGATTGATACAGTTTCAGTAAGTTAGTCAGACCAGTACAGAGGTATCTTGAATATCTATTTCGGCCAATAATCAAATTGTAATCTTAGTTATTGTATATTTCACTGTATGTGGTAATTAAATAAAAAAATATATTCTCAAGTTTTAATGATTTTGAACCCTTGAAAAATTTTTCAGAATATTTAATAGCATGAGAACTTCGTTATCGTGTCACTACCATAAAAATAAAATAAGGTCAGTGCTACGTCTTGGACAAGACATATCCTTCTGCAATGAAACACACCTACCTACAAACCCATTTTGTCGTATTAAAGGTTTAATTGCGATTTTCTAGTCAGTTCACCTATTTCTACTAAAATCAATGACAAGAACCTGTAATTTTGCACAATTGGGAAAAGTATGGCAAAATGAAGCATTCTATTAATTTATTTAAATAAAGGAGAATTAACAGAAAATTTTTAAGTGCAGTTATGATAATTCTACGAATTGTAACTGTACATTTGCAAGTTTTCTAGTTATTTTCGTTTTATGATTTATAATTGAATATAATTTTCATAGTAAATTTGGGTCGTATATTGTTATCTTCCGCCCGCAGTCGTTAGTGTTACAGCTTTTTAAATTAGATATGCATGAAAACAATTTGGTTGCTCAGCGATATCTGGTCTTAATTGAACGCACCCCTTTTATACGGAACATGCATTAATATTATAGTATATCTACGGTTATTTCTTTTTACAATTTAACGTTTTAAAAGCTACTCTATGAGTTGGGTGAAATTATCATCGATATAAACAATAATCCCCTGATTTGACCCAATGAGTATCTCCTATTTAGCTTTACCATAAAATTTTGTGAATCGTTTGCGGTTTTAAATGTGTATGTAGCATATTTGTGGGTCAGTTAATTTTGTTTAAAAAAACGAAAATTGTTTCGAGTGCTAGGAAAAATTCAATGTTCATTTATTCGAAAACTACTCAAGCTATCATAACTTAATTGACAATGATCGATTGCGCGTCGTTCATACTTGAAGACTAAGCTACTACGGTAAGCAACATTTATCTTTATTATATTTATTGCAAATAACAGTTAAATTATATTTCAACAATTTGATTGGTATTCCCAATACACCCGAGCAGAACGAAACTATACATCACGTCATAGATTAGAGATTAAATAAATCTTTAATCTATCTTCATAGATATTCCATAATCATATATTGATTATGATACGCCAATTACCTATGACCATTTACGTTGAGGCTTGTGATTATTTTACCTTGTATATCTTTTTCGGTTCCCAGTATAGTTTTTATGAAAGATAATATGTGTAAAGTTTTTATTAAATTATCTTTGAAATTACAACTTCTTTAATTAGAATTTTCTTCCATTTTCGATATGAAGACGTATAAATCCTAGTAGAAAGTATAAGCATATTTTGACTTAAGTATGAAAAACAGAAAGTTAGGTAAATTAGGGAAACGGAAATAGTAATTCTATTAAACTTTTTGTAATCTGAATAAACGGGATATTCATTCTGCTCAATGGTTTGTTATATATATATCAATAGTTGTAAATCTATTATTTTCTTCTCGGTTGTCTGTTATCTGTGATTTCTTTCACTGGAACCATGGGTTATCGACTCTCATGTCAAAACTAGTGCTGGCTAAACCTGGCAGATGGCGATGTTTGCAGCGTTAAATATTTTGTAAAATGGGTTGCATAAGAAAAACAGCATTACGATCATTAAAAATATCAATTTTAATTAACCGTTGTGTATATTTATATTATCTTATGGATGGTAGATTTTTTGCGAGACTTGTTTACCTTCTGATATTGTGTAGGTAATTAAAATGAGAATACATAGAATAAGAGAAAAATCATTAATAATCCTTTATGTTCATGCAAAATAATCAGAAGTTCTGTAGAATAAAGTAAATAAAACACTAAATACCTACAGTCCTCTACAAAACAGTTTTATTTATTATTAATTAATTTATTTATTTATTCATTTATTTGGCTAATAGGCTCTAAGCCTTTTAGAACCAGACAAATGTAGCATATATTATGATTATGTACGGTATGTGGACTTTTTGGTTGTAAGTGTTTTATTTATGTACATTCAAGCTTATTAATCTAACTAAGAATTTATATTTGCCATTCGAATTTGCGCTTATTAACTATTCACATTTTCTGTCTCCAAGTTAATTATATATTTAAATATTGTTTTGAATGTTTAACAGGAATTTCACACAAAGTTTGGACATCATGTGTAGTTGGCCTATGATTGTAGCAGTCCGCATTTCATCTCAGTGAGAAGCACTATCCTTTTATTCACTGAAAGCAGAAACAACAAAGGTAAATGACAAACATTTAATTTATAAGATTTAATTAAAAGACTTGGCAAAGTGATAATTTTTTTGCCTAATGATTACTAATTATATTTCGAAACACTTTCTTCTTTTTTTTAAAAGGATTGTTTATTCAAGAAGAAACTGTTGGATATTTTGTTTTCACAATGAAGACACGTAATGGTGTTTAAGTTTAGTTTAATTATGTACAGTATAAAACATAGAAGTACAGAGAAAAGAAAATATATGTCGTAGACAAAGGAAACATTATGACTGACTAGATAAAACAAAATTAAGCATACAAAAACTATCCCCCGGATCTACTCCTTCGCCAACAGAATTTAAATTTATCCTAACTGAAACATTCAAATAGTCCAATAATAACAAACCTTATAATTACTCTAAAGGGTCTAAACGTTCGCATGTGTGTAATATGAACCTTCCAGGATCACTCTGATCACTCCTTTAAACAAAACGATACAGTGATAGACTGCGTCTCAATGACGCCAACCTCGGGGTATAACCACCCTCAAACGAAACACATGCGAACAAGTTGACCCATATCTAATCTAATATACAGATGTACACAAAAACAATAGAAACAATTATATGCATATTTGGGGTAATTTATTGAGACTGAATAAATGAGTAAAAGGTCAGTATCAAAAATATATTTGTGTGCTGTTTAATTTTAAGTTTGTGTGTTAATCCTAAATAATCATTGTACACACTTTTAAGCTTTTGTAATAAAAGGCAGGGCGTGAATAATTGATAATTTTAGATATAATGCATTTTTTGGTTAAAAAGCAAATATTTTTTGAAAATTTCCCTAGTTTATTCTGTTATCGGTTTAAAAAGTATAAATGATATTTGTGGATTTCCTATAGGGGCGAAAATTGGTTTTAAATGTTACAATTTCTGAGCAATTATAAGTATGCAACCGAATTTACACTGGTGCGTGTATGGTTGCATATGAGATGTTTTTCTTCCACATTATTTTCTATAATTTCTGAGTAATTGTTAGTATGCAATCGAATTTGTACGGTGTGTGTATAGTTGCATTCGAGATGTTTTCCTTCTACATCGTTTTCCTCTGTTTTTTTTGTAAAAATGTCTGTATTCAGGGCAGTTCAATACTGTCACTACTTAATAATTACATTGTCGCCAATGTGGTAAATTTTTTAACTATTTCTTGTCCACGCTTTTTTAATGAATGAGTGTTTGTTGGTGATTTATGAGACGTTGTTTAAAAGTTTGATAACAATAAATAAAAACACATTTAAATGTTTTAGGAATAGATTTTATTAGAATTCAGTTTAGTAAACTCTATTTCTGAAACATTTATGGGTGTGTTAAATATATAATTAATTCGAAGGATAAAAACATTTGTTGAATTATGAAATAACAAATATGTAAATTTTTATTGTTTCTATCCCAGAATAATTTTTTAATATTAATATTTGATAATAGTAAATAAAAGCACGTTTTTGACAGTATATAAAAACATGTTTCAGGCATAGAATTTATTAAAACTGAGTTTTAGTACATATTTTAAAAATTAGTCTGCGAAAGAAATACTGAAAATTTCGTACGTATTTACTATTTCTCAATTCAAAAAATGTTTTTATCTTTAGAATTTTCAAGTATTTCGCGGTAGTCTATAAACTGCCAGGATATTCAGACAATCTCGTTCCCAATTGTACTTGTGTGATTATTATAGCTTGGGAGCTCGTGGCAATATGGGCATATGATTAGCTCGTCCTTGAAAGTGATAAACAAAAGATTTTTGAAACGTGAATCGTATAAAATAGGTAGCAGTCAAATATCGCTGATTTTGTGAAAAACGTAATTTTATAATTGCAAAAAAAGGTCTCCTAAATTATTAGCTTGTCTGCCATTAATACATTGCGTTAATTTCACTAAATAGATGCTAAAAAATCTCAAGTAGACATGTAAGTTGCTGCGTATTTTTTTTTAATTATTTTAAACTTGTAAAAAAAAGGTACTAAGTCATATTGCTCGTCGACGAATTATTTTTTAAATTGTCTTTTTCATCCGAACAGATGTTATTAAAGATATCAATAAATACTTAACAAAAATTAAATATTTTCAAATATAAAGTACAAAATGATAAACTATAATATATAGGTACAGTTGAACCTCTATAACTCGAACATCAAGGGAGTTGCCAAACAATTCGAGTTATA